GGGGAACCGGCCCGGCCTCTGAGCTGGGACGTGGCTCTGGTCCCTCCAGGAATCCAAGAAGCACCTGGCCGGCCTGGGTGTGCTGGGGCTGGGCAACCTGATCACTGAGATCACAGCCAGCGAGGAGGAGGGCCCGGAGGCCGATGGAGCCCACCTGGACGAGGAAGGTGAGGCAGGGGGGCTGCAGGGCCTCCTGCTGGAAGAAGTGTCATCATGTCACCTGGTCAGGCGTCCTCTGGCCACCTGCTTCTTTTCAGAGTGAATCTCATTATCCCCTGGTCACTTTTGCACTTGTTCTTTTCCATTTTTATGAGTTGTTGTTTGTTTTTTTTTAGTTGTCTCTTCTTTCTTGTGATTAAGTTTATTCACTGTTTTTTCCTGTGTTAAACAAGCCTATTTAGTGCACAGTTCTTATGTCTTTTTCTTTATTATTATTATTTTTTTTAATTTGAGCTTGTTGAATAGCTTCACTGAGTCTGAAAGGGTGAAAGGTGTTCCTTTATGCTAAAATTAGTTATTTACCAATCCTCAGGGGAAATTCAGAGCCTTTGGAGCTTTTGGCTGGAATGAGGGGAAATACACTTTTAGAGAAGGGACCACAGGAAAAGATTCATGTGTACGTGGTGAAGTATAGTAAAATATATCAAGTTTTGGGTGACTGGGTTTGTTTTCTGCTTAGGCTGGGTTAAGAGCACAGAAGATGCTGTTGATTACTCAGATATCAATGAAGTGGCAGAAGATGAGAGCCGTAGGTACAAGCAGGCAATGGGCAGCCTGCAGCCAGCTCGACGACCAGGTGAGTGGGGTTAGTGTTGCAGCTTGAGCTGCAGAAGGTGTTTTGGGGCAGTGGGTCTTGCCAACCTCCCGTACGGGTGATATTGAGCCATTTCACTCCTTGCTTCAAGGACCTGGTGTGAGCTTTTGTGAAACTGCTCCCTGGGTGAAGCTACTGCTGGATATCTGCATTTTGTAAAGGAGTTAGTTCCTCATTAGAGTTAAACTCTACTCAGAAGAGCATCTTTTGCTCTGCCATCCCCTGCAGAGAATACCCAACATCTGCTAATATTTCTTTAACCCATGTTCTTGGAGGGGGTTACACAAGAGGCTGGGTGCTACTCAGGGGTACCCAAAGATAAAGTCCTGATCTCTTACAGAGTCACTTTGATCTTAATACCTCTTGCCTTTTTTACCCTGAAATCCTTTTTCTGAAGTTACTTTTTCCACATTGGTCCTTTTGTCAGGCCCAGGGATCTCTCTCTGGCCTAGAACAGATTTTCAAGAACATGCAGCTTCTCCTTTCCAGTAGCTGCAAGTGCTAAATCTTGGCATATTCCTTAAAGCTGCCTTACACTCAGCCTTTCTGTTGGCATATTGTGGTTAGTGGGATGGAAAGAGGATTGGAGCTTCTTAACAACATTTTTCTTACTTCTTTAGCAGGTTTATTTGCTCTGCAAAGTGTGAATAAGGGAAGGTGATAGCAGAATGAATAGATATATATATGTGTGTATATATACACACCTCAGTGCTTCAGTCATCTTTCTGTCAGTTTGCCTTTTTCTCTCCTTCCTGCTTTTCCTTA